CTTGTCTACACTGTGGTATCTTACTACACTGATGGACAGTGATTTCAATGAGATATGGGGGGGACTTGATGATATGGATGAATGTAGTAACCACAATGTTTTTCACATGAAACCTTTATAAGAGTGCATATCAGTGATACCTTAATAAAAAAAAAAAAAAAAGAAGGAAGATATTAGCTCTTTCAAATGTTTTGTAGAATTCATCTGTGAAGCCATCTGGTCCTGGAATTTTGTTTGTTGGAAGTTTTTTGATTACTAATTCAATTTCATTTCTGGTAATTGGTCTGTTAAAATTTTCTATTTCTTCCTTGGTCAATCTTGGAAGATTGTACTTTTCTAGGAATTTGTCCATTTCTTCTAGGTTGTCCAATATATTGGCATATAATTCTTCATAGAATTCTCTAATAATTCTTTGTATTTCTGTGGTGTCAGTTTTGACTATTCTTTTCTCAATTCCATTTTTGTTTGTGTCGTCTCTCTTTTTTTCATGATAAAGCTGGCTAGGGGTGTGTCTATTTTTGTTTATCTTCTCAAAGAACCAATTCTTGGTTTCATTGATTTTTTTCTATTGTTTTATTCTTCTCTATTTTATTTATTTATGCCCTGATCTTTATGTCCCTCCTTCTACTTATTTTGGGTTTCATTTGTTCTTCATTGTCTAGTTTCTTTAATTGTGAGTTCAGACTGTTTATTTGGAATTTTTCTTGTTTCTTGAGGTAAGCTTGTATTGCATTGTACTTTCCTCCTAGAACTGCTTTTGCAGCACCCCACAAATTTTGGACTGTTGTGTTTTTGCTTTCCTTTGTCTCTGTGTATTGCTTGATTTCTGTTTTGATTTGTTCACTGATCAATTGATTATTTAGAAGCATGTTATTTGGCCTTCATGTGTTTGTGTGGTTTGTGACCTTTTTTGTGTAATCTATTCTACTTTCATAACATTGTGGTCTGAGAAATTGCTTGATATAATTTCAATCCTTTTGAATTCATTGAGGCTCTTTTTGTTGCCTAGTATGTGATCTATTCTGGACAACATTCCATGTACACTAGGGAAAAATGTGTATTCCTGCTGCTTTGGGGTGAAATGTTCTGTAGATATCTGTTAAGTCCATCTGATCTAATATGCTGTTCTGTGCCTCTGATTCCTTATTTATTTTCTGTCTGGTTGATCTGTCCATTGATGTAAGTGGCATGTTAAGTCCCCTAATATGAATTAATTGCAGTCTAGGTCCCCCATTCATTCTGTTAGTATTTGTTTTACCTATTTAGTGCTCCTATGTTGGGTGTATAGACATTTATAATGGTTATGGCATCTTGTTGGACTGACCCCATTGTCATTATGTAATGTATCATTACATAATGTCCTTCTTTGTCTCTTATTACTTTCTTTTTTTTTGAAATCTATTTTGTCTGATACAAGTACTGCAACTCCTGCTTTTTTTTTCTCCCTATTATTTGCATGAAATATCTTTTTCCATCCCTTCACTTTCAGTCTGTATATGTCTTTAGGTCTGAAATGAGTCTCTTGTAGGCAGCATATAGATGGATCTTGTTTCTTTATCCACTCTGCCATCCTGTCCTTTGGTTGGTGCTTTCAGTCCATTTACATGTAAAGTGGTTATTGATAAGTATGTACTTATTGCCATTTTAATTGTTTTCTGGTTGGTTCCTCTCTGTTTCTTTCTTCCTCTTTTATAATCTTCTTTTGTTACTTGATGGTTTTCTTTAGTGTTCTGACTGGATTTCTCTTTAAAAATTGTTTTGTGTATCTATTATAGGCTTTCAGATTGTGGTTACTACAATGTGTTCTTTAACTCCTTTCAGGTTCCCAGAACCAATTCCAATGTGTGTGGTGGGGTGAGTGGTCTTCCCCCACACACAACACCAAGCAATTCTCAAACATCATCAGGGTGTCCGAGAACCCTATTCAATTCTGATGCTATCTGCCCGGAGAGAGCACCAGATTCTCAGGTTAAGGGCTCCATCCTACAAGGCTCTCCTCCACCCCCAACTCCAGATGCCTGTTGCAAGCCCCAGGCAGTTAACCTGTGCTTCTGATGTACCAGCTACAGATTGGAGGTTCACACAACCTTTCCCTTAGGTTTGATTAATTTGTGAGAGGGGCTCACAGGACTCAGGAAAACAGTTTAATAAAGGATACCATAAAGGACACAAGTTAATAGCCAGATGAAGAGATACATAAGGCTATGTCCCAAGTAAAGAAGCTTCCATCCTCATGGAGCTTGGGGCCTGGCTCAGTGGCACATGGAGGCATTCTGGTTCCCCAAGAGTAGAAGTTCCCTCTGACAGAGAAGCAGGATCCAAGACGGTGATAAGCTCTTCTCAGTGGGTTCTGTGAGGGCTTTATTGCATAGTCATGACTGACTAAATTATTGGCCATTGGCTGATTCAACCTCCAATCCCCGCCTTTGTGTGGTATTCAAAAGTCTCTTATTGGCATAGAAAACACCCATTTCACATAGAAGACTCTGCAGTGTTTTCAGGAGGAACTGAGGTTGAAGACCAAATATACCTGGGAAATATATATTTGGTCATCTGAATGTATTTGTTGTGATTCATTATATTGCAGTTACCATAAGGTTCATGGATAGGTTTCTAAGCATATAATGGTCTATATTAAGTTGATGATTGCTCTACTTTAAACACAATCTAAAAGTACTTTTTATTCTTCTTCCTCTTCCACACTTTATATATTAGATGTCATAATCTGCATTTTTTGTTGGTTCTACTACTTTTGTTTTGTTTTAATTTCATACCTTCTTGGTAATTAACTGGCCTACTACCTTTACTGTGGGTTTATTTTCATTGGTGAAAACTGTTTAGGCTTAAGAACATTTCCATCTACAGAAGTCCCTTTAACATACTCTGTAATGCCATTTTACTGGCAGTGAATACCTTCAGCCTTCATTTATCAAACCCAGACAATCTTAGTCTGAATCTAAGCTGCAAATCCCTATACCTTTGACTCTTACCTAAAACAGTAAGCATAATTATAGCACTGCATTCTCCAATCTTAATATCTCTAATCTTCATACATATGCTCCCATTAGCCACCTATGCCCCTCCCCACCTTTTCAAACTTATAGATTAATACTAACACTCACTGATAATTATGGGGCACTCACAGTGTGTCAGGCAATGTGGAAAATACTTTACATTCAATATCTCATTTGATTTTCATAATTACCTCCCAATATACACATTATTTTGTCCCTCACTTCTCAGAAGAGCAAACTGAGGCCTGGTGAGGGGAAGTAATTCACCCAAAGTCCCACAGCCAGTAAAGTGGCTGAGCCAGGATCCCATCCCTGGTCTCTGCAGCCCGATCATTACTCTGCAGAAGCTATCTGAGCCCCACTCTCAGCCTGGAGTGCTAACTTCAGCTCCAGGATAACATGTCCTTCAAAACTCTACTAGTTATCGATATCTTTGTAGCCCACTGAGGTCTTTTTCCCTTTGGATTTCCTACCCCCAGTTCCACGTACCACACCCAGTCAGTGAGCTACTGGAAGGTAAGTCCACTATGTTATTTTTATTTCTTTTGCAGTCCCTCCCTGGACCATATAGACAGAATATGCCCACCATGCATATACTGACTCAGTCACTTGGCCTGGTTACTTGACACAAAGAGGGCCAGCTCTTTGGGAATGCATCCCTACTAGGACACTGTGGTTCATTCCTTTTCTTTATTCGCTTTTCCTCCCTTGACTTGAGGTCTGACTTTTCTGTTCATCTGGATAAATATTCCCCTTCCTTTGCTGCCTTCACAGCTCCCCCAGTGGGATCAGTGGGCTCTAATCAAGGGCACTAGACATCACCCTAGACCCGAAGACTTTACTGAAAGCACCTGGTGTTCTTTCCTCCAAACTGAAGTAAAGCACAATGGTCAGAGCTGCTTTTCTTAAAGAGGGAATTCCCAGAAATCAGATTTAGGCTCCAGGCATGCAAACAAAAGAAAGCCAAGTTCCACCACTGGTCCCCACTAGTAATTACAGACCCAACCAATACACCCCCAGCCTAATGGTAGGAGTGGAGCATCCACATGAGACCTGTGTGGCAGCAGCATTTCCAGACAATTTGACCAACCTCTTTAAGAAACTGCATATTGAAGATGCGCCAGACTAGACACCCTGCTGAGTACTTCCATGTACATAAGGTTGATTTCCTCCCACTGACATTGCAATTACTATACATGAAGCCATATACATGTAAAAGTCAAACTGCTTTTATAATGGACTTTTATATTCAGCAGTTCATTTAGCCAACTTTATAAACTTGCCAAGTCTCATAGCTTTATGCTTTCATTCTGGAGCACACCCCATCATCTACCTGTAAATTGATGGATGGTTTATATTCTCCTGTATTGCTTGCTTAGAAATATGTTTCTGCTATATTTATAAGATACTCTCAGTCAGCTTGGGCTATTCTTACTGACGTACCATGAAAATAAAGTCACACTACATGTCCTCCCTCCTGACACCTGTCTGATAAGGATTTTGCTATTGCAGATGAAGTAAGTGCATTAGTTGATATTCTGAGGGCCTCGTGTATGTCATCAGAATGAGGACTGGCACTGTCTGGAGCATTTAAAAGAGGAATCACTACCCCAGAACTGCTTACTTATCTCAGCTTTCAAAATAAATATTTGCCCAATAATGCAGCAGGTTTATGAGCTGCATTTAATACAATAATGAAAAAGTCTATCACTGTGTGCAAGAGAGAGACAAAGAAGAGTTAAGGTTGCCATGGGAGTCCATGGCACTTCTGAACTTTTATGATTATGAACAATAATTAGAGGTAATGCTTTATGGTGGTGAAGCACCTTGTCAGCTCCTGATAATTGTAAAGTGTTTGCAATTAACTTACCCTCCGAGACTGAAGTTGGTGTAATTAACCCCATGAGGAGAAGCAGCCCAACAAAGGGGAGTCACATGGGGAGAGCCAACCTGCTTTGCAGTGGCATAGATAAAAAGAGACCTCACCAGTCCTTGCCTGCGCCACCTCCATCACAAATGTCTGCCATAGGTTCCCTTCTTGGTCCAAGGCATTTTGCTCAGATGTCTAGGTTGGCTGGTTACGTGGTAGTGTTTGCCGGCACTGTGGAGAAGTGGGTGGGTTCAAAGCCCTGGCCTCAGGACCTCAATATTTCATTTCATTGGGAGTGGATATGCAGACCTGCACAGCTGTGACAAGAGGAATGCAGAAAACACCTGGGGGAAGGGAAGTTGGAGATGTGCTGCTCAGCTGTAATCAGCTAAAACTTCATGAAATCAATACTTTTGTCTTCTCTTATCTAAGCAGCTACAATTTAAGGTTGGTCGTTAGTCTGCCAACTCTTCTACTTACTGTACTGTGACATAAACATGCTCTTAAGCTTCTATAGAAAGCTGGGAAAGAGTGTATATTCTTCATGCAAAGTGCTATTGACATATATATATATATATATATATACACACACACACACACATATACACACACACACACACATATATATAAATAAATATATATTACATATACAGAGACATATAAATGTCTACATATTAGAGAGACATATATGTCAACATAATCATATAATAAGATAATGTTATTATACACACACACATATATATGTTCACACATACATATATATACAAGTAAATCTCTGAAATAAGTGAATCATATGCTTTGGCTCCATCATATCAATAAAAAACTAGATGTCCACTTTCTTCAAAGGAAAACAAAGTATAACTCAGGATACTCTCAGCCAACATTCCCTTCTGTTGCAACTTAAATCTCCATGGACAAATCAAACATTTCATTTTCTTGGTTGAGGCTATTGCATTCTGTATGCTGACAGATTCCAATGAGGAAATGTGTTGGGCTACTGCCATTGATGAACTTAACCCCATTTCTCAATCCCCGCACCAACTCCCCACACAGCCCTGAGAGGGTTCCATAATGGATTACAGCATCAACTCAAGACATGGGGGTGATAGATTATATAGAGCTGCATGGAGGACCACCTTTGCCAACAGTATAGGAAGATGGCAAGAGTGTTTTCCCTTGAAGCAGTGCTCTCATGAATACCTGCCCCCAGCAAGACTAGTGCTTTAGCCCTAGTCAGTGTGGCTGAGCCAGCTGTGGACGGAACAGACTAGGCAAGCCATGGCTTTTGCTTTACTCTGAGGAAGAATCTGTACAGCACAAAGCCTCTACCATGTTTTAAAAGAATGTTTTGTACCAGAAAAGCTAATTTTCTATGATTAATTTCATTACCTTTGTGAGACTGTCACTCCATATATATTTGAAAGGTAGATTACAGTCCCTTTTGATGATTCTCTACATGCCACAGGGACTCTCCAAGACTTCCAACAAAAAATAAATCCAAATGCAACTGTGAATAATACCTCCTGGGCCCTAGGAAAGAGAAATGTTCATGTGCCATGAAAAGAAGAGAGTTTTGAGTCATTTGCAAGTCACCCTGCAGGAGTTCAGAGGGTGGGGAAGGAACTAGGGGAGGACAGAAAAGCCAGGTGCAGGACTGAAGTCGGAGAGAGGTGAGCTAGGGTAGTTCACTTTCTACCTCATACACTTACGTACTGTTTGGCGATCTTACAAGTTTCATTTTGTTGGTAACAAGAACAAATGTTGGTTATTTATGATCCCCACTGCTTTTAAGTAGTTCAGGGTGTATGCTGTTTGCTGAGCTAGTGATGAGAGAAGAGATGCAAGCCGAAGACACAGAGCCTGAGCCAAATGACCAGATCAGATGGGAAGAATCAGAGAGGTCCTCCAGAAAGCTCTCAGAGTGGGAGACAGGAGTTAGGGATGGATTCGCAACTTCAAGGGCAAGGACTGAAAAGAAAGGGAGATCCTGTGCCTGAACACTGAGAAGTAAGACTTAGGAAAACAAGAGCATAGTGGATGGAGGTTTCCCTCCCTCCTTCCCTCCCTCTCTTCTTCCCTTCCATCATTAATTTTCTTTCTTCCTCTTTCTGTCTCTTTTACAAAATTCTGTGTGCTATGCAATATAGCCCCTCTCTGGCCCACTATAAACCATTAGTAAAGTCTACATTTATCACCAATGCCTGTGGAGTAAGTTTCCTTTTTTAGAGATGTGAGAAAATGCTAAATCCTACTTTGGGGTGGCATGAGGGAAAACTACGAGACAGCCACATACATACTCATTTGGTTCCTACAGTCACAGAAGACGGTCGGTGTAACTGACAGAGTGAGAAAGAACATGTGAGTTTGGAGCCCTGACCACTCATTCCTTTACACATGTAGCAGCTCTGGCCTCTGGCCTTCACATTCTGCAGTGGCCCCTGCCCACCTCCCCACCTCCCCTATCCAGAGGGAAGCCCACCCACGTGGTCATTCTCAAGGCAGTGCCCAGGACTGGGGGAAACCATCAGACCCACTGCATGAGCCCAGGCCACCATGGGGCCAAGTGAGGTCAGCCCCACTGGCTGCAGCTTTTCAGCACACTCTCTCACTCTTTGGAGAGGGCTGGCTAGGCCTGTCCTCCTAATTCTGCACAAACTCTATAGGCCCAGGTTCAGGCGGGAGCATGAAGTCAGAGAGCTTGGAAGTGCAAGCCAACAGTCGTCCAAGCCATATGGGAGTCAGGAACAGAGGACAAAGGTGCACTGAAACTCTTCTCAGAGTTTGCAGAGGCAGGTGTCAAAGGAGGCGGCACCTCCTGCATATTCTTAACACGTCTTTGCAAGACTTGAGACCTTGCACATCTACTCATGGTGCTGATCAAAGCTTTTTTGAGAGATTAGAAAAGAGAAGAAAAGAAAACCCAAGTGTTCGCACATGCAGTCTTCCTAATTAACACTGCAGGCCCAGAGCAGAAAGAAAGCACATCAGATTTTTTTGAGGCAGCTGTTCTCCTACTAGCATCTCTTCTCAGGGAAGCTGCGGGCTAATGCTCTGTGATTCTGTGAATTCAGAGAGAGGCCTCTGGCTGCTTCAGATGGAGGAAGGCAAGCTGACGTCTGGGGCAAAGTAATCATTCCCAATGCTGGCCACACTGTGGGCTGGAATCATATTACCGGGAATTCACATGGGCCAAGTGTAACACAAAAGCCTGTAATGATTGTTTACCGTGTGCCAGGCCCCATGCTAAATTCATTTCCTACAGTCTCTCGTTTCAACCTCCCCACAACTCCCTGCGGTATTAGCCCCACCCCTACCCTCACCAATGAAGAAATGTCACTGCCTGAGGTCACCAGCTAGGAGGTGATGGAGAAGTTCAAAGACAGGTTTGTCTGAATCACAGCCCATCCATCATGCTCTCCAGCAGTGTGCTAGACTCCCACCTCTGAGCCTCCTCTTCTTTGGATATTGGGCTATTTTCAGTGCCTGGCATAGTTGGGACTGGATTTAAGCTTGATAATTATGAAAGTGACATTTTTTTTAAGTTGGCCCTCCTTCCTGAAACTATCCCTAACCCCAGGGATCCCCTGTGTGCTCACAGCACACCCACATCTGACCCTAGCAGGGCACACATTGCATTTGCTTGTAATCATTTATTTAATCTGTCTTTCCTATAACACTGTGAGCAACTCGGGGGCAAGAGACATCTAGCACAATGTCTGCTACACAGCAGATGTTTACAGAATGAGTGAATGACCTAAAGCAGATCCTAAATGAATTATACAACAAAATAACAATGGAGTAGCTGTATACAAAGGAGAGAACACCAGAGTGGAATCAGATATGCTGCCCTCAAATCTAGCTACCTTACTTATTAGCTGTGTGCCTTTGCACAAATCAGTTAGCCTTTCTGGGCTTCTGGTGTCTTGTCTATAAATCAAGGCAGTTGCACTTGGGCTCCTCAAGGCCACATCCAATGCTGATGCTCTATGAATTCAGGCTGAGCAAAGTCCATGCAGCTCCTTCATGAAACTACCCACTCAGGTAAGACACTCCATGCTCAATATGAAGAAATGCCCTGCCTCAGACCCAGAGTTCAAGGACTTACCTCCTGGGCTGAGCAGCCCCACAGCTCTGCCCCTGTTCCCTTGGCTACTTCTCTGCCCAGGAAGCAACATGTCTGCCACATTCCTTTGGTTTGATCCCCACTTCAGGCTCTTTCTGGTTCAACTTCCTCCTTAACTACTCACCCATCTCTCCCTATAGACCTGGTTCTCCAGGGAATATTCCTTTGGTCTGTCCCACCCTTGTGTGCAGGACCCACTCAGGAGCTTCAACACCTCTAATTAGAATGTCAGTCTCCATCTCTCCATCTTAAAGTGATTACCTAGACCTACAGCCCATTAGGAGACACTCATCCATGAAGGGTTAATACTACTTTACCACTGTGAGGTGTTAATGTATTTAAGCACACAGACTGGAGGGCACGCTGCAATACAGATATTACTAATTAACACCATTCCAATATGCACATTATTAATTGGGCACTTACAATTCTTGAATACATTCCCTCCATCAAGTGGCCTTGTAAGAGAGTGTGAGAGCAGTGTGTGAATTAGATCATAGGGCCACTCAGTCACTGCACACCACACACTGACCAGGCAGCTAACCAGAAAGGCAGGTTCAGAGTGCTTCAGACAGAAAAATGCCCTTTCTGCCTCATGTTGCGTGTGGATCTATCTAGGCCAGAAGCTTTTGCAGTGAGACAATGGCAAAGAGACAGCAATAATATGGGAGTTCTGTTTTCTAAGCTTGACATGCTTGGGAGGAAATGATTTAAACTTGTCTCTAAAATGGGGGGAGGAGGAAGCCACTCCGAGGCATATTTGCAAAGGGCTTTGAATTGCAGGAATGAGAGGAAAACCTAGGAATGGGAGGATGCAGAACCTGGAGGGGAAAGCGTCTAGGGAGGGTATGCCACGCCTCCCCACTAGCGAGGCCTGAGGACAAGGAATCTGCCTGCAACCCTGAAGGGCAGAGCAGGGCAGGGGGTGGAAAATGTGGCTCTATGTGAGCAGCACTCTTTAATTCCAGCTCTAGGGTGGTGAGCTTCCTGTCCCCATAAGTTTTCAGTTGAATCTGGAGGGTTACATGGCAGGATTGTCACAAATGAGCTTCACTCATATGGATGGGCTCAAAT